TCGACCGCACTTGCGACCACTCGGCCAACGAGGCAGATATATCGGTATTTATGTATAGGTATAATATAAATTACATAAGAATCATTATCAATATTTCTAAATAACAATACTATAATAGTAAATAAGTAAATTGGGGATAAAACTACATATACATATATACTAAATACAATTGCCAAAATGATAAATTAAGTGCGTGATGCGTCTGTCTATTCCCTTCGCAGTAGTTCACGAACTTTAACTTTAAAACTTAGCCGGCTGGTTGCCGTCCTGACATCCGTGGGCAGCGCATTCCACAGCATAATGGATTGTTTTCTGGGTGTGATCAAGGTCCGAGTGAATAGGTTGTTCATGGGCAGACTTGTTCCATTGTGGACCGCATCATCAATTACCACCAGGCGAGATAGTGGCCAAATGTCGAATCCATCAAATATAAAAGAAATGATACAAAATTATTTCTCTTAAAATTATACTGGCTACTTTGACCATGATGACAAAATTAAACAACGTCCTCATCATCATGGGTCAATTCGACTGATATAATAACACGACCTCATAGAAAATAGTAACTGTAGCCAAATGCCATTTAGCGCTTGTCTACATGTAGAATAGAAAACCAAATTATATGGAATTGACGTAAATGACGCTTGTCAGTGTGATCTCCATACATTCAGTTTTCTACTCTCTCGGTAGATAAGCGCTAAAGTGGCGTATGGTTAAAGGTCCAGGAGCTGTAGCCAAATGTCATTTAGCGCTTGTCTACACGTAGAGTAGAAAACCAAATTATATGGAATTGACGTAAATTTTGACATTTATTGTCATCTCCATACATTTAGTTTTCTACTCTCTCGATAGACAAGCCCTAAAGTGGCATTTGGCTAAAGGCCCAGGTCTGACATTCCTTGAATTCTATCTACCTGAGTGAGTGAGCATCGCTATTAGAACTTTTTTTTATACCACGACGGTGGCAAAAAATGCTCATGGCACACCTAATGCCATGGCACGACTGCACGGTTGGTGCGGTGGCTGGGCAACCGGCTGCCGTGCAACGTGTCGCGGGTTCGATTCCCGCACGGGACAACACTTTGTGTGATCCACAAATTGTTGTTTCGGGTCTGGGTGTCATTGTGTATGTGAACTTGTATGTTTGTAAACGCACCCACGACACAGGAGAAAATCCGAGTGTGGGGCAAAGTTTTTTCTTAAAAAAAAAAAAAAAAAAAAAAATGATCAGCGGTTACCGTGGCACCATGGCGTGGTACCTATGTACACTGGCAACACTTGGGGCATTACATGCACATTGCCGACCCATAAAAAACCTATTCACTCCCCTTTTGAAGAAACTCATATTGTAGCCCATTGGGAAAACCATGGCAGACATTTTACAATCTCTCTTCTCCACTGTTGGGTAATATTGGAACTAAGGTTAGGTGCTTCGATTTCTTGTTGGAGCAACTCTTCAAAGTCAAAGCATTTATTTCAATTAAACCATAATTTGGTCTCTCCACACCGAAACACGTTTAATGTAATCTTAATTTACTTTAATCTTGGTTCCAGGTAACGGCACTTTAATCGGTGCCAGCGCAAACGTGGTCTGCGCAGGAGTGGCCGAACAACATGGTTACAGATTCACATTTGTACAATTTTTGAAAATTGGGTTTCCTATAATGTTAGGTAACTTAGTAGTAGCATCACTATATTTATTATTCTGTCATTGCTTTTTACAATTACACTGAATTGGAAAAAAAGTGAAAATGTGAATTACATGTCTACGGGTCCCATACGATTTTCAAATTAGATACAATTACATTTTTTATTTATTATAAAGATATTCGAACAAATATACTTTTTTGAAATGGTTTAAGGGATCCTTATTTTTTGGTTATGGGACCTGTAGATCATGAACTTACAACATGAATCACATATACACAGATAAATAAAATTGGAGCGTCTGTTTGTAATATTAAAATAACCGCTTTTTACTACATACATATGAATATACATACGATACACATAACAAAATATATTGTTTTTAATATTTTTGTCTGTCTCTCTGTTTGCACTGTCTAATCTTTAGAATGGCTGCACCAATTTTTCAAGACTTCTATTGACAAGTAGCTGGTGTACTAAGAAGTAACGTAGGCTACTTTTATTTTGGAAAATTGAAACAAAAAAAGTTGTGTTCTAAAATTCATGTTCTACGCAGACGTAGTCGCGGGCAACAGCTAGTTTTTCATAAAAATAACATCACATATTTTAATTGTTAAAATGTATTTGCAATACATTTAATTTTATTTTGTTATTTAGACATACTGTAATAGGTGACCCTATTACCTAACTTCGGTCATATGCATTCGAAAACGCCATTAAACAACTGTCTGACCCGAAAATCGAAGCTAAATACCTTACGCTTGGTAGATAGGGACACAATAGCAACTGTTTACTATTTAATTTTTTTGATAAAACAAATTATTTTTTTATGCAATATCGAATAATAATAATAATTATAATGAATTAAAGAATGTTCCTATTACTTGCAATACAGAATGACGTAGTATATCTCTGTTTCACTCACACTTATACAGTTTAATAGGAATGACGTCACAGTTCATATCGTGCGTCTCTTTTTAATAAGGTGACAGATAATTAATGAAAAAGTTTTAAATAGGTAATTGTATAAAATATATTTGTAAACGATAATAATATAATTTTAACATACAATGCTTTTAAAAAGTTATTTTTGTATTGAATAACTTTTTTAATTAGGGTGGTATTTAATACTTTAACTGTACATTCCTTTTTTATTCAATCAATATATTCGAAATTGCCCCCAAAAATACTGAATTGCACACTAAATTTGCTCATCAAATAAATCAATTATACTATACTGTTAGATCTTTAAAGCTTAACTGCTTTACTGAATGACTATCTTTCACTAAAAGTAATATCTAATAATTCTTCGAGTGCAACAAAATATATAGGTATATATTTTTTTTGGAATCCATCACCTATTAAACTTCTTAACCACAATCTTAAGGTCGTGAGAAAAAAAACTACACCCCTAACTTAACCTATTGTCGCGGAGAACCTAACGGGTAACCGGGGCTCCGGCTCGACGTGCAGGAGAAGGAACGGGGTGGGTTTTTTGTCAGTGACAGTAAGAGTCTGACACTCCCTCCCGCCTCACCCAGGTGGGAGCAGTCATTCGATGATATTCACCCCTTAAACTGTCAAACACCAAGCGGTCACCGGTGACCGCAACGTATTGTTCTATAATTGTGTCTACAAAACCGGTACTCGACGAGTTAAAAAAAAACCTAACCTATTAGTGTGCAAATCAGTATTTTTGTTTTACGGTTCATATTTTTGAAGTGGAGTAATTTAGTTTGCTTAAATATCTAAATAGAGGTGCAGTAAAAATTCTCCTTTTAATTATAATAATCAAAAAAATCCGTTTAAATACTACTTTAAAAGTGATTCTATTTGCTAAAGTGATCCTTTTTACTCTTACCAAGCGAGATAAAAAAAAGATGTGTAACGAATATGAAATATATTTTTTTACATTCAATATTTGCCAAGATACGTAATTTTCACCTATAATTATATTTTAGGTGTAAATAACATAGTTTCAATTTATTTCTAGCATCACAATCCCCTGTGGGATAGACAGATATGTATAAAAAACAACATTTATTCAAAGGAATGAATCTACAGATTTTATATTAAGAATCTAGATCGAAAATTCTAATACATATTGTTACTATAAAGGAATTGAACACAAGACCTATGTTCAGTAAACGTTCAAAAAATTACTAGGCAACAAGTGATTTTTTTATTTTGTATAATTGGAACTTTATTTCATTTAGAATAGGTACTGTGACTTTCGTTATTTGACGTCGTGATAATAAAAATATCGTGTTACAATGATCGATGAATTTTGTCGTTTAGGAAAACAATACTTCGATAAAACGGAGTTAAGTTTGGGAGTGGGAGGTCGTTACATCACGCTACCCTATAAAATGTAGTAAATTGTGACGTCACACGACATTTTAAATAATCGAAAGTATATAATTTTGCAAGAAAAGAAAAAATACGTCCGTAATGTATTAAGTGTGGGAAAGCCATGCTTCGGCACGAATGGGCCGGCTCGACCGGAGTGACACCACGGCCTCACAGAAATCCGACGTGAAGCAACGCTTGCGTTGTGTTTCGTCGTGTGAGTGAGGTTACCGGAGGCCCAATTACCCTCCCCTTCCCCAATCTCCCCAATCCCTGTATCCCCAACGATCCTCAAACTCCTAATCTCCAAAAGGCCGGTAACGCACCTTTGGTGTTTCAGGTGTCCCTGGGCGATGTCGATTGCTTACCATCAGGTGATGCCGTCTGCTCGTTTACGGACATTAAAATAAAATTTAGTATATTTTTTTTACGAAGCTATAATTTCAAATATCAAAGTAACAATATCCTTTCCAAATTAAATTTATCAGTCTAAGTCCTTTTCTAATGCACCGTGTTAGACAAGGACAGCTTCACTTTTATATGAAAGAATTTTCGTCTAGTTTCAATTGCAGTTGATCCAATCAATTTTGAACTCTAACGCTTTACCTTAAGAATGTTGTGAAAGCAATAACATTTTGCAATAAATAATTAATATGTATGTGTCTTATTCCATTTGCAGTAGAACTCAAAATTGATTAGCTGAACTGTAATTTTGTTTTCTTGCAAAGTTCTTCTGTTTTTGCCCCCCTTTTACATGTTTGAGGGTTAAAATAAGATAAGGGTACAAAACCAAGAAATGTGATCTTAATGAAAGTATTATTGTGAATTATTGATAATAATAATAATGAAATAAATAAATAAGTAATGTAATTAATAATAATAAATAAAGAAATTAATTATGATATGTGTATGTTGATTTTTACATTCATTACTTTCCTATTTTTTTTTTGGAATTGGTGGCAAAGGACCATACGGACAGCACCTGATGGTAAGCGATCAGCGCCGCTCATGGACACCCGCAACACCAGAGGAGTCACAGGTCCGTTGCCGGCCTTTTAAAAAGGAGTACTCTCTTTTCTTGAAGGTTTGAAGGTATATTTTGATACCTAGAAAGTGGTCACATTAGGTTTTAAGTTATTTAAAGCAGGAGGAAAATAACCATTATTTGACCATTGCAAATAATGTTCAAAATCTCTTAACTGATTTGTGAAATAGAATGAAATTTTCAGGGCGTAAAATGAATATGTATTTTAAAAAAATCAATGTACTTTGCCTTTACATTGTATTGTGCCGCAGGTGTATATAAAAACATCATTTCGCATACACAAGACACCCAGACTTTTTTTTGAAGGTGGAAAATCATACAATTTCTCTTGCACGGGTGAGACTGAGAGTGTCAGACTCTTACTGACTAAAAACTACCCCGTTCCTACCCCTGCACTTCGAGCCGGAGCCCCAGCAACCCGTCAAGTCCTCCGCAGCTCCGTATAAGACTAACAACAATAATTTTAGGACCATACAAAAAAATTGTTTCGTTTGACAATTGATTTCAAAACATTTGCCAAAAATAGTCAAATCTGTCGTATGTAGGCCAATAATGATAATCCAGCAGTGGACTGATATAGACTTATTTTGATGATGAAATTATATGTCGGGAAAATAAGTGAATACCTACATACCAAATATAGACGCAACTGTAGATAAGCATACTAATATATTATTATATAAATAACTATGCAACTCACTGTATGACCCATCACTACATCACTACACACTTGTGACTCCTCTGGTGTTTCGAATGTCCATGGGCGGTGTTGATCGCTTACCATCAGGTAATTTGTCTGCTCGTCCTCCTAATCCATAAAAAATATTTAACAAAAGGTAATATCTGGTAAGGTCTGTGCGCCACCTACTAAGCTCCTTACATACTTCTTTAGCTTCCATCACATTCATACATCTGATGGTATACAGAAACTACAGAGCGCCACCTACTACGCTCCTTACATACTTCTTTAGCTTCCATCACATTCATACATCTGATGGTATACAGAAACTATAGAGCGCCATCTACTATTCTCCTTACATACTTCTTTAGTTTTCACATTACTTAGGCACTTGGACTAAAGGACTTGCGCTCATTGGTGCAAATTTAAACTAATATTATAAAGAGGAAAGATTTGTACCTATTTTTGTATATTTTTGTATGTTTGTAATGAATAGGCTCATAAAGTACTGGACCGATTTAAAAAATTCTTTCACCAATAGAATGCTACATTCTTCCAATTTGACATAGGCTACATTTCATTTTAAAAAAAATTGTCTACCGCGTGCGAAGCCGGGGCGGGCTGCTAGTATACTATAAACTGCATAATGCCTCATGCAGTGGGAATAAGACTGAATTTGTAATCAATCTAAATAAAATTTACTCGTTGATGCGCTGCGACTATGCGCTAGAATAAATTTGTTGGTTAGTTGGTTCCTATATATCATAATAGTTGGTTCCGAAAAAACTAGGGGTACTTAGTTACCATATTTCTATAAATAAAGGAATTTAATAATAATAAGAGCTCGCAGGGCACTTTGAGGCGAGGAGACGGGCATTAGCGACCCCGCGGGCTACCATCATCCCGAGTGCTCCAGGGAGAAGTCACCGTTTCTTATTTTCCGGCTTGCCGTAATTGGCTGGCTGGAGTGAACGATGACGAGGAACAGGTTTACCACTTCTGGCTTGCCTTCATTGGCCGTCCAGAGTGGAGTCGTGAGAGCAGTGATCCTCCTCGGACGGTAAGAAACTATTCGTAAGTCGCGAGTGGGCCAGGGATGCAGGAGGCTTCGGCTGGAGCAGATGATCTGAGTAGAAAGCGGTGGTAGTTTCTTAACCTCACATTCTCGTTGCCGCTCTGTTGCTATATTTAACAACCATTCCCGGGGCCCGATCGGTGAGTTGGCGAGTCTCCGCCTGCCATTTTACGTGTAATAATTACATTATTTCGGCAGGTGCCATAGTCATCCATAGTTCCCAATTTACCAGTCCACAGCAACCCATCCATAGCCCTACCTTTTTTCCACTATCCACAATAGTTCTACACTAACCGGAGACTGTCCTTGGGTGCATTTCTATAGGTATAGTCGCCTGTTTGTGTGTCTATTACATTTAGATTAAAGTTGTCTAAAGGGCCTCTGCGCACTTAGCTTCGGCCCTTCGTACGCCTCC